GTGAGTAGATATCTTCTATATGTTTATACCTCAATCTCAGTTTTTTATAAATATTCTTGTTCTGCATCCTACTTTGATGAGTGGCTTCTGGGGTCTTAAAACCTTGCAAGCAACCATCTAAGATGCATCAATTGGTCCCAACCACCTGGAGTAAAGGCGAATGAAGAACACCAAAGACACAAGGAAAGTACTAGCCCAAGAGACAGAAAGGGCCACATAAACCAGAGACTTCATCAGCCTGAGACCAGAAGAACGAGATGGTGCCCCGCTACCACCAATGACCACCCTGACAGATAACATAACAGAGCATCCCGGATGGAGCAGGAGAAAGGTGGGGTGCAGAACTCAAATTCTAGGAAGAAGACCAGACTTAATGGTCTGACTGAGACTGGAGGAACCCTGGAAAGCATGGTCCCCAGATTCTCTATCAGCCTAGAACTAAAACAATTTCTGAGGCCAACTGTTCAGACAAAGATTGGACTGGACCATAGGACACAAAGTGATACTTGTGAGGAGTGTGCCTCTTAGCTCAAGTAGATACAAGAGACTAAACGGGCAGCTTCTGTCCAGAGGTGAGTGGGAAGGCAGAGAGAGTTAGGAGCTGGTTGAGTGGACATGGGGAATCAGGGATGGAAAGGAGGAGTGTGCTGTCACAGTATGGGGAGAGCAATTAGGGTCACAAAACAATGTATGTATAAATTTTTGTATGGGAAAAAATGAATATAAATAAATATTCTTTGGCCTCACCCTTAAACTCCTTCAATATATAAAAACAATAGGAAGACATCAGCCTACAGCTAAGCTCTAAAGTTGGCCATAAACAAACTCAAAACCCACTGCCATCTATTCCAACTCATAGGGACCCTATAGGAGTAGAACTGCCCCATAGGGTTTTCTAGGCTGTAATCTTTACAGAAGCAGACTGCCACATGGCTGGTAGGTTCGAGCCTTTCTGTTAGCAGCCAAGTGCTTAACCACTGTGCCACCAGGGTTCCTTTGGCAATAAATAGTTGGCCATGAATACAAATTTCCATGAAAGTCAAACAAGAAGGGAGACTTTGTATAATTTCAGGCATGTGCTAATTTACAGGCTTGTGGGTATCTTCTGTAATTATCCATAGAAATGTGGCATGGAATCTTCATTATTTTTAATATAAATAGAACATGCCCATTCAAATTAAATTTTAAGCAAATCTACTTTGTCCTCCCAAATACTTAGTCACTTTAAGATATTTTTGATATTATAGCTGTTGTCCTTAGGTGAAGCTGTTAAAGTTAAATAAGTGTGAATATCTGTCAAATACCGTTTTTGCAAGAGTGCACATACGTTTTATATATTATGAGAAAAGCATAATTAATAACTAATTAGGATAATGAAAGTAATATACACCAGATGTAGAGAAGATCTTGTGGAAAATTAGTATGAATTAGGTAACATGTGATTTGGTCAAAGCAAGCTTGTTGAGAAGAATTAAAACAGTGGACATGTGGAGGGACAATCAGTAGCTGTCTAGCTCCTACACCTAGGGAATAATTTAATCAAGTTTGCTATTGTAATACTCAAGGCTTCAAGCTGTTCCATTTTCACAAGTTGATAACTTGGGATTTGGGTCTTGATTTGCAGTATTCCTATATGGTCAAGGTTTCATGTTGAGATGATCACTTATTAAGTAATTTAATAAAGGCATCTCTAACGGGTAAGAATGGAAAAATAATCAGAGATCTTGAGTACTCTGATTCATGCTCTAAATCTTCCAGATGCCATTTAATTAATAGAAGTCTAATATTTATTACATAACGCATTTTCTATTTAACGTTCATTGGTTGGCAGTAGTCTAATTCTCTTTTCTTTTTCTTATTCTTTCTAAATGTTCACCAGAATTCTGTATTTTGAGAAACTGAAATTCAGTAATTCTTTGATTGGCTTATATAGCTACATTTGGAAACAACATACACATAATAATTATAATGTTTAACATCTATTGAGACCTTAATATGTGCTAGGCATTATAAGTGTTTTTTTCATATTATGTCATTTAATCCTCACAGCAATGAGATGCAGCTGTCATCAACATCATCATCATCATTATTCCCATTTTCAGATGAGGTAACTGAGCATAGACAGATTAAGTAGCTTGCCCAAAGTTACAAAGATAATAAATGATGGACCTGAGAGTTGAACCCAGGTGTTCCACTTCCAGACCACTTGCTCTAAACCACTGGGTACATCTGTTGATGATGTTGTAAATGATGAGAAGAGAAAAATTACATCTTTTCGTTTATAATTACATTGAGACATAGGAATAGATGTAGTCTTTTGTGTGGTGTGTGTCATCTTTACTAATTCACTTCATTGATTTTCATCAAAAGTTACTATGGATGTAAGTAGTGCAGCACTAATCTGTTTGATGAGTATTTTTTCCTACCTGTTAGGAATTATTAATTGATGAGTTTAAAAATAATCTCTTCTTTATTTGCTTTTAGGCAGTCATGTTTAAGCCATACTCCAATCCTGAAATGTGTATAGATAAATAGAAACCTGGTCCACTGACATGACTCACTAGAAGGTCTGTCAATTACAATGTCTTGGATCTACTCTGAGGAACTCATCAAGCATAAATGGAAACCTCAGTAGTGGTTTAAGGTAGTATGTCTAGTGTAGGTGAAAACAGTTGTCTCTCTTAAAATTAAAATAACCTGTAGGGTGAAATGGGCATAAGAAAACTGGAATCAAACTGAACAAAGCCTGTGACCATTTTCAGCTATCTTCCCAGAATAGTAATAATTCAAATCAAGAAGAATAAAAACTTCATAGATTTCTAAACTAGTTTCTATGTAGGTAGACTCTATCTTCTGGTTATGAACTGCTCTCCCAAATCCTGTGTTCATTTCTGTTCTTTTTTGTTGGGCTTGAGATACTTGGCTTATAGACTTTCCATCAACATGTCTTGTTTAATGTAACAATTAAATTATCAACTGAATTCTGTTATATATAAATCTTTATGGATGACTTTATTAGTAAAACCTTATTAGCCCACCTTTTTAGGTAAGGAGAAAAAGAAAGGACTCTGTTTTAGTCAGTACACTTGGAAAATGTTATTGCTGTCTAGGGAGGGCTCAGACAAGTGCTTTTTAAGACTCAACGGCAGTGGGATTGGTTTGGTTTTTTGGTATCGTAGCCGACTTCCATACATTTCTTTCATACACCTGAGATTCTAAAACACCTTTACTATCAGTGAAGTGCTTCCTTAATTGAATGCCAAATACTTTCAACCTTACTTTCTTCTTGGTCATTTTATTGTTTGTGCCAGTATGTGCTAGCAAATAATATTGATAGTAATGTGGTAGATTCTCTTTTAATGAGGAGGCTAGTGAATAGTTAAATGAAAAAATAATAAAATTTTTAAGTTCATGGGAAAATATCAAAAAGTAAAAAAGAAAAGAAAAATAATGCCTGCACAGCCTGAGACCAGAAGAACTAGATGGTGCCCAGCTACCACCAATGACTGCCCTGACAGGGAACACAACAGAGAGTCCCAGACGGAGCAGGAGAAAGGTGGGGTGTAGAACTCAAATTCTAGTAAGAAGACCAGACTTACGGTCTGACTGAGACTGGAGGAACCCTGGAAAGCATGGCCCCCGCATTCTCTATCAGCCCAGAACTAAAACAATTTCTGAGGCCAACTGTTCAAAGATTGGACTGGACTGTGGGACATAAAATGATACTCGTGAAGAGTGTGCTTCTTAGCTCAAGTAGATACATGAGACTAAACTGGCAGCTTCTGTCCAGAGGTGAGAGAAGGCAGAGAGGGTTAGGAGCTGGTGGAATGGATATGGGGAATCAGGGATGGAAAGGAGGAATGTGCTGTCACAGTATAGGGAGAGAAATTAGGGTCGCATAACAATGTATGTATAAATTTTTGTATAAGAGACTAACTTGAAATGTAAACTTGCTCTTAAACTACAACAATAAACAAAAAGAAAAAGAAAAAGAAAAAAAATAATGCCTGCATATAGAAATAAAGATTAAAATGTATGAATTGACAATCAGTGTAATAAACTCAAGAGCTATTTCCTTGGAGGCAGAGGACAATAAACTAAAAAAATTCTGATTACTTAAAAAGACTTTTTTTGACCACATATAAATGAGATTAGGAATGAGAAGTGCTGTGCAGAAATTACTAAGATATTAAATTAAAAAGAATGCAATACAGAGTAGAATGGATTCCTAGTGGGTTACAGTTCTTGTGTTATTGATAAATAAATGCAAGAACTCTTTCTTTGTGAAATATAAAAGCAAAACAAGCCTAAAAAACTAAGGCAATTAATAAAACAGTTCAGTAAAGCAACTAGAATATAAGATTAAATAAACAAAACAAATAACTTTCCTATGTAACACTGATAACCTGTTAGAAAATATGATGGAAAAAGGTCCATTAAGAACAGAAGAAAAACAAGAATAAAAAAATAAAAAATAGTAATTTTATAATAAGTATATTGAATCCAATTGTTACTTAGAGATATGAAAACATGAATACATTGAGAGACATAACATATTTCTACAAGTCTAAGGCAGGTTTTATTCTATTTTACTAAATAGAATAAAATATTGATTAACACTTTGAAATGATTTACAAAGAGGTGATAATATAATGGAAAATGCTTATGTTATAATGTCCAACAATAAAATGTATGTATAGAAAATAGCATGGAAGGAAATATGCCCAAATGTGGATCTTTGTAGCTATTATTGGATGGCTGTAAGTTTTCACTTGTTATACTTTTGTGTGTTTGTGTTTTAGTAAGAAATAGGAATACTTTTGTAACGGGAAAAATATGCAAATTTAATTTTTCCACAATTTAGATAAAAAACATAAAGACTTGCTTTGTCATCTATGTATTGTGTTTGGCCTTATGCACAAAGGGAGGAGTTTTATATTTATATTTTTGTATACATGCTTATTTTTATTATTAATTCATATTGTTTTTAATTTCCTTAGAAAGACGTGCGGGACATCCTCACTCCAATTCAGATAGAAGCTGCTTATCACCTTGGACATCATGTCATCAGTAAACGAAGTACAGAGGAATTCCCGCCTCTTCAACCAATTCTTCAGCAGAAGAAAGAAAAAGACATTATTAAAACAACGGTTAGAATAGTTCTGTTTATTCAAAACATTGTTTTACATACACCTAAAGACCTTTTTTTTAAGTATCTGGGAAAGTGAACTATTTCTCTGAATTCTTTAATTTTTAACGAATGGTTTTCTAATACAAATAGATTTATAGTATGTCTTATTTTCTGTTTTTTCTTTACTTTTTTATTTCCTTTCGGATAGTGAAGTGAATGTTTTTAAATATGTATTTAATCATAGAAGTAGTTTCCTGTATATATAAAATGTTAATTTTCTTTCCTCGCTGACTTGCCAGTGAAGATAATTTATTACTAGAGAGAAATCATAGTGGAAGTAAGTTGCATTGATGAGCTAGTCAGTCAATATCATCACGTGTGGTCCATCTTGTCTTTGTCCTTTTCCATCTCCTCTCATTGTCTCTCTCTCACTCACCTTACTCAAAGATTCGCTCATGTCTTTTAGTCAGATTCCCTTGCTGGGTTTCACTCATCTGTAAACATACGTATTTCTGTTACCCAACAATTTCTGTTTGTTTTTATTGCATTATATGCTTTTCAGCCACATCTCAGCATCAATTGCATTTTAAGGTGGATCCTGCTTTCTAAACAGTGAACTGCTTTTTCTGAATTATTTCAAAATATTTCCGTATCACTCACAGTTGTATTTATTCCCAGGAGTCTTGCTGTTCAGACCTTTACTGTCCAGCAACACAAAGACAGTCAACAGGATGTGTTTGGGCATAGTAAAGAGCATTCATTAAAACGTTTGCTAATGGCATAATGTAAAAGATGAAAGGGACATTTAAAGGTCTAGTTCATATCCTGCCCAGACAAAATTGCACCGAAGTCACTTTAAGATATTTGAGTATACAATCACCGCTTGCTAGTCTAGAATACTAAATCAAAGGAAGGTAATAATTTACGAGCAAATTTTCTTTATATCCTTATAAAAAAAAGTTTTCCTGAATCAGTTTTTTCACTCTTCTATTGAGTTTTAATTTTCAATATCAACAATTTTTTAAATGTCTTTAATAATGAAAATCTCAATGTTATAAGTACACACACCTTAGTAACTTGTGGTTATATTACAGCGATCTACATTTTGATTCTTAGAACAACCTGCTTCACAAATAAAGAGTGCCAGGAAAAAATAATATTTACTTAGTCATTTAGAGAAGGATTTATGCTTTCCTTCTGCTCCCCCAGGGATAGCCAGTCTGTGGGCTGACATGCTACTGACAACACTTCAGCCAGTTTCCGCTTTATGTGACTCGTCTTTCTCTGACTTTCTAGATCTTTCTGTTCTGCTTCCCTCCGTCTTTCATCGGTCTCTTCCTCTCATCTTCCTTCCCCTTTATCTGTCCTCATTCTTTTTTATGTCAGACTTATAGCTCAGACCTTCTCATGTACCTCGTGATATCTCTGGGTCTTATTAAAATGCTCAGAGCTAAATCCATTCCAGAACCCTTACAATAGACTATCATTTAATTCTGTCCAACATTTCCTCAAAGCAACATTTCTATATTTCGATATTTTATCATTTTCAATGACTATAAAATCACTGTCTTGCCATTCGCCAAAATTAAGGAAGTGCCATGCTTGAATGTACTAAGGGAGATCCAACTGCAGCAACAGAGAATTGAGATGAATTAGGTGAAGAACATCTTGGAAGCACCAGTTTTTAAACACTTCTATCGGTTACTCACCTAAGTATGATGAAACTTTTTTTCACAACTATTATAAAAGAAAAAAAAATCATTTTTGGTTGGAATAAAAAACTGAGGCCACACTAGTATTCTCCAATTATCTGTATAGTGCCTTTCATTTAACCTTATTTCTCAAAACTTATTTTATTTAACAAATTTATACTCTAAAATTACCTATTGAAGGAACTTAGTTCCTTTAACCCTGAAGTTATTTCTTATTTGAACTTACTGAGTAATTTTCAAACTGAACTCCTCAGAAGGAAGTTATCAATTTACTGCTTTAATTTCATTTCCTCATGTATTAGATATTTTAAAAAAAAAACAGATGGATCCCCACTTAGTGAGCTGAAATAAAAATACTGTCATATTTTATTTTCAGATAAACTTTGCAAGGTTTTGTGCCCATGAAAATTGTTCTGCTGATTTACAGGTGTCTGCAAAAATCGGATTTTTGAAGTAAGTGTAATATCTCTGTTATTCATTATGTTAGAAGAAATTGGTCTTGTGTGTGTGGGTTCCAAAGAGAGAGAAGAACTAAGGACAAAACCTTAGGGGTTAACAGCATTTAAAGAACTGGAAAAGAATATCATTCTACTGAGAGAGATTAAATGATCTATACATCATTCATAATATGTATTTATTAAAGGATTACCACTTTTTCAAAGAATGAAAATATGTGAGCACAGGGCAACATGGAGTATGTTTTAATCTTTTATTGATAGCTCAGAAGATATTTCAGGATTTATTTGTGCCTTGGGTTATCATTATCATAATTGCAGTTATGTTTCAGACATTTATAACTGTCTATTAATAGAGCTTTGGTGGCAAAATGAGCTAACTTTCACTACACAATGCTTAGTTTTTTGTCGCGCAGAAAACTGGTTATGTAATTCAGACTGGTGTACAAAACAACAAAATCCCTAAAAAATGTGTAACAAATTTGAAAGGGAAATAAACCATGTTGCTCTTCTAAATTCATAGAAAGGAAAATAGAGCAAAAAGACAATAAATATAATGTACTTAGAATAACACCTAGCACATATATAAATGTTGGTTGCTGTTATTTGATGCTGAGAAATAAACCCATTGTAATTTTTGTATCATGTCTAGATACTCTGCAATCAAATTGTTTTATATAATCAGAGGGCAGATGAAAGAAAATAAATATCAAAGAGATAGAATCTACATCTCAGGTTGAGGGCTAATTGTATACGGAAAGTGAAAGAAGGGAGGGAGGCATCAGTAATAGGTAGAAAAATGAGGAAAATAGTTTTGAAAAGTAGCGATATAAAGGAAATATATTTAATTTGGGTAATGTTGAATTTGATGGGACTTCCACATGTAACTCTCTGCTTGAAAATCTAGTTCTGGATTAGATTTGGAGGTCTTCTACACATTAATAGTAGTCTCTGGGAACCACAAACAGTTAAGTGCTTGGCTAATCTGAAAGTTTGGCAGTTGGAACCTACCCAGAGGTGTGCCAGAAGAAAGGCCTGGCAATCTGCTTCTAACCGTCACAGCCATGAAAATCTTACGAAGCACAGTTCTGCCCTGCACACATGAGGTTGCCATGAGTTGGAATCAACTCTATAACAACTGGTTTCTACACATTAATGACTTGAGAGAATGTCTAGGTGTGGAGGGGGATTGGAAATGTGAGTCCAGAGACAAAAACTAAGGATCTTGGGGGATCATTGTATTTAAAGAGCTTAAAAAGAATATGAAGTCATTGTGGGAGACTGAAAAGATGTGCTTAGAGAACTAAGTGAGAACCAAGTCTACAGTGAAATAGCCAGTGGAGAATATAAAAAGAAGGACTTAGCATTGTAAAAGTTTGCAGACAGGTCAAATAGCATAATGACTGAGGATAGGTCATGGGAGTTGGCATTGAAAATGTGACTGGTGGGTAAAAAGGATATCACTGGTAAATGTTAAGATAGAAATTTCAGTGCAGTAGTAGCCAAATGACAAGAGTTTGAAGAGTGGAGATGAAGAAGTAGCAGTAAGTGATTATGGTTATGATTAAGGGAAGAAGAGTATCTTAGGGACAAGTGGGTTCAATGAAGAGTTTTTATAATATTTATCAAATGTTATTTGTTTAATCATGGGGAGACATAAGCAAGTGGGAATATGCCCTTGTATTCCCAATGCAGAACACTGTATGGAATGCTGTAGGTAGCTAATAGGTGTTTGCTGAGAATGGGATGAGATCCTGAAGGAGACGGTGTATGAGGGGGTAAGACTCACAGGTAGAGGAGTTAGCCTTGCAAGAAAGTTAAGAGTCAGAATCGACTTGACGGCAACAGGTTTTATCTTGAGATAGTCCCTAGGTGGTTGCAAACGGTTAAGAACTTGGCTGCTAAAGAAAGGCCTGGAAATCTACTTCTGAAAATCAGCCTTTGAAAACCTCATGGAGCGTAGTTCCGCTCTGACACACATGGGATCACCATGAGTCAGAATCAACTTGACAGCAACTGTTTCGGTTGTTTTTTATCTTGAGATGAGAAGCTATGAAAGATGCTTGGCATTATTAAGGCATTTTGGTGGAGAGAAAAGGAAAATGTAGAGTACTTATGGATGACCATGATAAAAAGTGAGTTCATGTGTAGAAAGTGAGAGCTTTGAGGATGGGTTTGGGAACTTGAAAGAAATAGGAAGAGATTCAAAATGGCTGTTACGGTCAATGTGACAGGGAGTAAGCAGGAATGCGTAAAAATATTGGCAAACAATGTTAAGTGCCCTACTGAGGTGGGATCAGAATGGCGGAGAATAACTTCATTCTTTTCACTTAGTCAAGGCCAGTATAGCCTTGAGCATCCACGGTCAAAGGCCAAGAAGCCCTAGTCTATTTGATTGATAACTGGACTTTATGCTTTCGTTCTCTGGATTGGCTGCTTCGATAGTCCAAAAACAGTGACCACAAACTTCTTAGTATCCCAGCAGTGTAGCGGTGCCTTTGTTGATATATTAGTTGAATAATTTATAACCTTCCCATTTATGTTTTTATTTTTTCCTAGAATATTTAGTTTTCTTGGTGTTTTGGCCTTCAGGGGCCTTTGATAAGAAGAAGTTATATGTGGGAAAACTTTTCTAAGCTACAAATAAGTAGTGCTTTCAACTTTCTTAATTAAACACTCCTGCTGTCTCCGTTGTTATCTTTAGTTGAGATCTCTCTGGCCTATAAGAAAATGGGAAATTGAAATTTATGTGAAAATATTACTAAGAATGCTGCTTTCCTAAAGAGTGAAAATATAGCTTATCACATTACCATGTTGAATTATTAAACCATGAATTATGAGTTTTTCTTCATTGTATATTTTTTCACAAAAAATGACATTATCTACATTGCATTTTTAATTTGAAATGATAGTATTTCTTATAGTCAGATGTCAAGCCCATTATGATTTTAAATGGCAGTCAACTGAGTGTAAGGCAGTGTTTTTCAAAGTGTGATATTTGGGTCACCGGGATGTTTAATAGAAATGCAGTTCCCTCGGCCCAGTTCATCCAAATCAGAATCTGTGCTGGGCAGGCCAAAAGTCTTCACAGGGCTCCACATGGTTCTTACCACACTGAAACCTGAGAACCGATGTTGCGATGGCTTAGAGCTTCAGATTTGAAGTCAAACTGACCCGGGTTCAAATCCTGTATCTGCCATTTACTAGCCAAATGATATTTTTAGAGAAGGCTTTTAACTTCTCTAAACCTTTCTACTCATTGATGAGTAGGCAAAATTATAGCACCATCTCTGTAACGTTGTTTTAAAAATAAAATGAAATAATGCAGGTCACATTTATAGCACAGAACCTGTTACATGTGAAGAGTCAATAAAAGTTACCATTTCTGATACATTATGGTTGGACTAGAAGGATCCCGGTTAAGTGCTTGGCTGCTAATTGAAAGTTGGTGCTTTGAACTCACTAGCTGCTCAGCAGGAGAAGGATGTGGCAGTCTGCTTCTGTTACAGCCTTGGAAACCTATGGGTAGTTCTACTCTGTCCTGTAGGGTCACTCAGAGTCAGAAATGACTTGACGTCAAGAGGTTTAGTTTTCTTTGGATGGTTGGAATTATTTATAGATTATGATAAAATTATTTTTAGTTTGACCATGAAGTGAAATATTGCCAGTGCATTTTTTTAAATTGCCATATAGAAATACTGATTATTTGTCCAGAGATTATTGTTTCATTATGTCCTGAGAGTGCTGTTGACAGGGTCAATAGTTTTCATTTTGGTAAGGGTTGAAGTGGCATAAACGTCAGCTTGAAGTAGTAAGCACCACACCTTTTGCACCAATTGAGAAAGTTACAGGCCATTACTATTAAGTAAATAATACCTTATTTGAGGAGTTTTCAACTGAAAGCTCTTCTAATTGATTTTTAGACTCACAGTGAATGGTTTTGACAAAGCTGTTTTGCATTTTAGTAAATTACACTCTTACCACGTAAAAATATGCCTCTACCACATAGGTGTCCTTTTCCCTTCTCAGTAATAGTGGGCAAATTGTGACCATATGTTCTACGCTTTCTCCCGACTAAACTCCGCTGGCACTAATGGAATTTATGTGTCCCAGAGCTATAAACCTGTTTTAGGTAAATGTATTTACTCAGTAAAGAACATGCGTTTCTGAAGACTGCAATAATAGACTGCCCACAGCCTGCTAAACAGTGCTTATGTACTCTGCCTCATGTTTTCATTAAGTTGAGGCTTTCTCCCGTATGTTTAAATTCCCACTACAATAAACCACATTCAAATGGATTTCCACTGCAAAATAAAGATTAACAAACATGATTATCAAGATTACAAATATAATAGCAGATATTACCCTTCAGGCAATTCAAAATAAAATCTTTCATATAGATTACTGATGTAAATAACACTACTTTTCTGTACCTCAGTTATGCTTCCAGTGTAAGTGATTTAGGCTTTCCCCAAACAATTGATTTCATATCAACTAGGGATGCTTTTAGCTGCAAGTAACAGAATACCTGACTACATACTTGAATGTATCCCACCTGAATTTGGAGACCATCTCAAGAATAGATTTGACACACTGAACATTAATGACCAAAGATCAGATGAGTTGTGGGAAGACATCAAGGACATTACACATGAAGAAAGCAAAAGATTATTAAAAAGAAAAGACCAAAATGGACGTCAGAAGAGACTCTGAAACTTGCACTTGAATGTTGAGTAGCTAAAGCAAATGGAAGAAATGATAAAGTGAAGGAGCTGAGCAGAAGAGTTCAAAGGGCAGATCTGAGAAGACAAAGTAAAATATTATAATGAAATGTGCGAAGACCTGGAGTTAGAAACCCAAAAGGGAAGAACACACTCGGCATTTCTCAAGCTGAAAGAACTGAAGAAAAAATTCAAGGCTTGAGTTGCAATTTTGAAGGATTCTATGGGCAAAATATTGAATGACACAGGAAGTATCAAAAGCAGATGGAAGGAAAAC